AAATCCTCCACTGAAAGATTACTCCTAAAAAAGAAGACAAGAGGACATTGTAGATAAATATTCACTTAAAAGGAGCTCCACCCTGAACTACTTTAATTATAAGCATCCACACTGGGAAGATTATGGGCTCCGGATCCCTAAATACCATAAGTTCCCTCTCATTACACACAAAACTCCTTTTTGAGTGGAACCACATGTCACCGGACTGAATAACGTCCTCTGCCCTCACTTGCTACGTTTCCACCCACACAGAGGAGAAGCCATGCTGGACGTTCAGCTCAGATATAAACAGACAGAACTATTTAAGCCCTGACATTTCACGTGTGAAGCCTCTCATCATCATCATCATCACCGGGGCAGCTGTGTGCTGGTGAGACCTCACCGGCTGATACAAGCCAGGATATAAGGACACAGAGCTGTGAAGTCATAACAGGACAGGACACTGGAGACTGTCGTCACCACAGATACATTCTCAATGGGCGGTTATGACAAGGGGGACTATTTATAAGATGACCTGATTTACACTGATCGTCTCAAACCACTGATCAGTGCATTAAAGACTAAAAAAACAAAAAAAAATTAGATCAAACTATTTAGTTTAATACATCGATTGATTGGTCGTTTATGCATATTTAAATACTGTTATTTTAAAGTAACTTAAAGCATGTATGTATATATAATTTATTTATCTTCTTTAACATGCCTCTTTCCACCTTTTCAAGTTTATTCTAAAACAGTATTTCATTGTCTGTGTCTACCTTTATTTACTCTACTTTTTATCTTCTATTTATGTTCTGACCAGCTGTTCCACTGTGTGGAATGGAGGCTGCAGTGCCTCAGACTGGAAGAAAGCGAGGAGAGTGGTGAGAACAGCAGAGAAGATCATCAGGGCTCCTCTTCCCTCCATTAAAGAGATTTAATCCCAGCCCATAACATCATCAATGACCCCTCACACCCCCACCATGGACTGTTCTCCCTGCTGCCCTCTGGGAAGAGGTCCAGCAGATTCTGTAACAGCTTCTTCCCCACCGCCATCACATTCCACAACAGTTTCTTCTCCACTGCCATTAGACTGCTGAATGTTTTGCAAAATGGGTATTGTATTGTATTGTATTTTATTATATTTTATCATTATTTAAAAAAATGTTTGAACTGTAAATTTACAGTCATATGTTGATATTACTATTTTTATATAAATATTTTTACTATTTTTCAAGGCTGCACTTTTAAAAAAGATAAAATTGTCCAGAGAGCAGTATTAAACGAAATTTCTTTTTTTTTTCACTTGTGTAAACAAAATGACGAATAAATCTTTCTAAGTCTAAATATAATCTTTGTGTGTATTTCGTGTGGACATGTCTTTGTTACCCCGTGGAGACAATTTCCCAGAAACATGCTACATTTTGGGGACTTTTAGATACTTGTGGGGACCGATGACTGTTCTCCATGAGGAGAAGTTCTGTTCTTGAAGTGGGGGTTAGGTATATGTTGGTAGCGGTTAGGGTTAGGGCATGAAAATGAATGCAATATGAATGGAAGTCAATGAAAAGACCCCAGAGGGATAGTGTGAAACAAAATCCATATTTAGGTTCACTTGGCTTTTGCTGGGTTGTTGATATCATGGACCTAATCTTTGGGGGGACATGTCCCTGCACTTTTTTAAACATCAACGTCGCCTCCTTGCTTTACTGTCCAAAAACAATGTTACACTACAGTACACAGACACTCGTCCAGCACTAGGACCAAGCAGAAAACTGCCACCCCCTAGCTCCTGATTGGCCCACCGTCTTTTCTTGTGTAATTGGCTGTCACCTCTGTCACTCCTTAGAAACTCACTTTAAAAACATCTGAAGCGCCACTCTATCAGGTCTGTGATTGGATGGTCAAACACGCTGAAGTTAGTTATATTAAAAAAATACTTGCATCCCCCACACTTCTAAAATCAAAATTTCCTCCATGATTGATATACGATTTTACTGGAGATTTAATAATAAGATGTATTGCCATAATGTAAGTCTGGGTTTAATAAAAATGGAACATTTTTAATGATTAAAGTTGGAGTATAAATCAGGATGTAACAATAAAGGTAATATCAGACTAACAATAGGTTCCTTAGAAGGAGGACCAACAGTCTGGTTTTGTTAGAAGCTACAAAGGAGAACGCCTATAGGAGAAGGAGATGCTCTCCAATAGCTGGGTCTTTAAGGGTTTAAACATTGTTACAAAAATGTAAAAAATTAACACAGATAGAAATGTGCTTAACATTATTAACTGGCAAATAAATCACACGTTAGCAGAAAAAAGAAATAACACTTCCATGTAGCATGCACTGCAGAAATTTTAAAGATGCAATTTAACTAGAGCAGCTACCTAAAACTTGTTTTAATATTGATGCAACTGTACTGGTGGATCGGCATCAGTTATCTAGCCAATATTGGCGCCAATATCGGTATTGGATTTGTGCATGTAGGCTTTTGGCTGATGATCCTTTAACGACTGCAGTAACTGAGTCACACAGACTCAGTTGAAGCATTCATATTAGAATATTAATAATTTAATGTGTTATGAGGTCATCTTTAAAAGCAAGGGTTTCTAATTGGGTATGAAAAGTCTTTTGAGATTAAACAAGTGCAGCTCTTTTGTTTGGAAGGTTTCCAAAGAGAAATATATTTTTCTCTCTAAATGGTATATAACAGCAGGACATTTACCAAAGCACATCTAAACAAAATACAAGAAGTTTGACACTTTAGCTTCTGGACATGAAGGACTAAGGCTGAGATACTTGGCTGTAATAGTGCCACGTTTGAAGATACCCAAACACACGGATCAGTGCGTAGGCACAGTGGAGGAAGGGTGATCCTCTGGGCTTGTTTTGCAGTCAGAGGACTAAAGAATCTTGCAACATTTGACTCGACAAAAATAACCCTAACCCTACATTGTTATAGGATCATATATAAGTCCCCTTATCTGCCAAGTTTCTTCACTCCACTCAATTTTCTATGAAAATGCTTATGTGCAGCCCTCTGGACAACCAGATTCTTGGTGCAAAGTTTGTAGAACTAGAACTAAACATGAGGACCGTCACAAGGAAACCATTGACAAACGATTACAGCATGGAGAATGCTTTAGACAGACAACCTCATAACCCTTCGATTGGGGAGGCAGAGATAATCAGGACGCGCAGACATGGGTCACACTCTCAACAGTAGAGTTGTTCTGTGTGCAAGTACCACCAAAATTACAGTTTTTTAGTTATTCGTGAATATACAGAACAAATAGCGTCCCTTATCAGTTCAATACAGGACGCGTAATTAAACTTTCAAATAAGTGACGATTACGTATTTCAAGGGATGGATGGCAACTCTAAGATTAAGGGTTTGCATATTTACTCAACTAGGCTAGTTTTTAATTCTATATTTTTCATATTTTAAGGTTTTTAAATGCCTTACTCAGGTTAAAGGTCATATTGAAGATGGAAAAAAATTGTGAAATTATTTGCACTGCTGTCATTTTTTAAAATTTTGATCATTTGAATCAAAGTTGTCTGTTTTCAGACCCTTAATTTCAGACCTTTTCTTAACAAGCTGAAACTTAACCGAGATGAATTGTTAAATTATAGACTTATTTCCAAACTTCTTTTCTTATCTAAAATTATTGACAAAGTAGTTGACAAACAAGTGTGCGACCACTTACACTATAATGACCTTTTCTCACATATAAAGCCTTAAATGGCCAAGCTCCATCTTATATCGAAGACATGAACATTCCTTATTTTCCTAACAGAGCACTTCGCTCTCAATCTGCATGTTTACTAGTGGTTCCTATATATATATATATATATATATCTCAACTTTAACAGCACCAAAGCAACCACAGACCATCACATCACCTCCACCATGCTTAATAGATGGCGTCAGGCATTCTTCCAGCATCTTTTCATTTGTTCTGCGTCTCACAATCGTTCTTCTTTGTGATCCAAACACCATAAACTTGGATTCATCCGTCCACAACATTTTTTTCCAGTCTTCCTCTGTCCAGTGTCTGTGTTCTTTTGGTCATCTTAATCTTTTTCTTTTAATGGCCAGTCTCAGATATGGCTTTTTTTTTGCCACTCTGCCCTGAAGCCCAGAATCCTGCAGCCGCCTCTTCACTGTAGATGTACACAACTATTCATATCCACTCTATGTATTGTATATCAGTTTGTATAACATCTATATTACATTACATACATTTACCAAATAACATTTACTTGATTAGCAGTTTTTGAAAGGCTACTTCAATACTTTTATGTACTCAGCACTTCTACTTAGATCATTTTTTTAAGTGAAGCTGCTCTCATTTGAATTCAGCTCCTTTGTACTCTACTCCCCTTTGGACACTGATGTGTTTTTTGTTTGTTTGGGATGCACAGTTTGAATAAAACAACTAAATGTATATAATTTGTGTTAATTTTGCTTGTTATTGTGTTTTGGTTTTGTAGATGCACAATAAATAAATGTTCTTAATTAATAATGACTTGATATGTTTTATTAAGGCTAGTTGACCATCATTTACAACTGAAAATAAGTGTCTTAAATATATTTAGTAAAGATGCTTACTTTTTCTTCACTTTGACAATATTTAAAAAATAAATTTAACCAGTTATTACTTTAGAGCAGTTTATTTTCACACACACACACACACACACACAAAAAAAAAATATATATATAATAATAAAGCTCATTAACTTGTGAGACAACTTTTAAAAGTGAGCCCTTAGTGCCCCCTTCTGGCAACTCCTTTAATCTAAGGTCACAGCTTTATTCTGGTTTTGCCTGAAGGTCTTTACTTGGAACATAATCTCTGCTGTTTAAATCCTGGATGGTCAATGCAGATTGGGACACTTTGTTTTAACTTTTTTGTCCAGTGTAGATTTTTTCACAATTAACTAATTACTTGAATGAAAACCAATAAAAAAAATATAACTTTGTGGATGAAATGAATCAACTCTAAAACTCAAATTTTCTTTCATTATTATTAGAAATAATTTTTATTACACAGTTCAAGTCTCCAACTTTTTACAAATGCATACATTAATGAAAAATAAAAGTTAATCAGGCAAGTTCCAAAGAAAGAAAAACAGTAGATATGTCGAGCAGTTAGACGTCCTGTTTGTAGTACACACAGGATTAATAGCCCAGATCAGGTAAACTAGTTACACGGTACTTGGATGATGACTAAATGTTTAATATATCCATGTATGTTAATTGGAGACAGCATTTCTTTAAAAAGTAATAACTGTAACAAAGAATGAAGCTTGTGATAAAATGCATAAAATAATTTCCGTGTTAAAAAGGTCAAAAATAGTCCACATGTCGGACAGGTCAGGTCTCATTTTTGAACTCTTCTAAAACCCAAAGGCCTAAAAGATTACCCTGTAGGTTTTAACAGTTTGAACTTCAAGCCTGTTGTATGACAGCTTGGAGATCCAGTTAAAAGTAGTGCATAGTTGAAATACAAGCTAAGAAATGGGACAAAGAACAACATGATACAAAGTAGTAGCACAAACACTGATGATCCATCATCAACCAAAATAATTCATGTTTTTTACTGTTGCATTGTTAAAAAGGATTTTTCAGAATTTCTCCATTTGGTTTTTTTTGGATTTGATAATCCTCTTTTGAATTAGCTGCACATCATAAACTCAACATACACAGTAATATGTATTGGTAAAACACTGGATGAACAGCTCATAATATTGTAGGAAGCAGATGGGGCAGAGTGAATAGCTGGATGTTCCATGTTCCTACATGATGTTAAAGTCTCATTTACTGAGTGCAGCAGAGCACTTTCTCATTGCAAAATATAGAAAAATTTCCTTCCTTTGGGTTCCATGTTCCATAGCTGAAATGTTGCTGTCTGATGTCAGAAAATGTTTGTTTCCCTGACAGATTTTTTACTTCTTTAAAGATGAGATTACAGGACCTTCTGATTAGTGTGTTTCGGATGTCTGTGGAGGAAGGAGCTCCTATCAGGGTTTGTTACACAACAGATCTGAAGAGGCCTCTGTCTGTTGCTGGATGACGGTCAGCGCAGTGAGCAGAATGGCATCTCCGCATGTAAGTAAAAAAAGGAAGCAAAAAGTGGCATATTCATGGTGGTGGAGGGATGCAAACGCTGTGGGAATACGTGATTTAAAAAAATAGACTAGGAAAAATAATATTCAGACTAACATACAAAACACATGCAAAGGAAAAATTCTGCAAGTAGTTAAAACGACTGAACGTTCAAGAAAGCTGAAAACTAGAGCCATAGATAGAGTGAGTTATGAGAGTCCAGTGATTTCTACAGAAAGAATGGAAGGCATTTGTTCCGTGGATCATGGAGCTGTAGAATGTTGAATAATCCTTTAGAATTGACTGCAGATCATTCTCCATGTTTCAGTCATTTTCTCTGGTAAGTTGATGAAATGACAACATTTCTTGCCACTGTGAGCTTTAACTGACCACTAAAACCAGCTGCTTGTTGTTAAACTTGTCTTCAGGTCTGCTGGTGGTCAAATTTAAAGGGAGCTGGTCTAAGTGACGCCAAGGACAACCACGTCATTAGGACTTTAGAAAATTTACACATTGTTTAATTTTTTACAGTTTATTGTTAAAGTAATGTCTTAAAAGGTAGTGAAAGTTTTTTATCCATAATTAATCATTTTGATCTGTTCATAGTGGATATTAAACTTTATTTTAATTCAATCTTTGACTGAAACAACAAAAAGGCTACAAAATACAATGTAATTCTCTAAACTGCATTTACACCTGGACTTCACCGTACTTTATTATTAGCTTTATTTTGTCGTGGGTTTATTTGGGTGTTTTATAGTTTTACTTTTCTGTGCATTGTTATGGTATACTGTTGTTTATTTCAGCATCGTTTTACTTGAAGCAAAGTTTTAAATAAAGTTTAGGAAAGAAAAAACATTCTGCTGTTTTTGCAACTTACAGTGTTTTTCTTTTGCATGTTTCTTTTTGGGTGTTAGTGTCATTTTTGAGTTTGCTAGTCTCTAAAACGCTAAGCAGCAGTAATACCAAAAGAAAACAAGAAATAAAAAAAATGTTTTTTTGTCTATCAAAATAGATGAAGTTGTCTAAAGGAATTTTAACTGGAATTGGACGAGACTAAAGCCTAATTTAGATCCCACCTCCTCAATAGATATGCACATGAAAATCCCCCGTCCATTGAGATCACAATAATCAAAGAGGCTTCTTCTCCAAGGGGATTTCTGCGGCAACTGATTTATAGTTTTTTTTTACCCTCAGCATGTTGTCATCATTGCTAACAAACACTTTCCCAGATCAGACAAGCCAGTAGTGAAACCTAAACAAGTCTAAACAAGTGGATCAACCTCCAGGTCCGTGTCATAATGACAAATTCGTGATGCGTGATAAATATAACAAGAAGGGCTGAAAATGAAGTTTCTATTTCACATAGTTAGTCATTAAGCAAAGGATAAAGATGTGGGGCTGTTTTCAACATTGTAACAGTTTTGATAAAGCATACAATAACATTTTAAATTCATAACAGGTTGGACCATTACAAACATTCTTTCATGACCGTTTCATAGTTGACCCATTTCATTATGACAGAAAGTAGAAGGTAGAATCTTCTTTTAAACTCCACCAACAACACGTTTTTAGATACAGGTAAAACATGTAAAGCTGACAAGTTGGTCTCTACGACGGAGTATAAGGGCCAGGCTAGAGATTTTTTTTTCTCTTATTTCAACAATAAAGTTATCACATAATGAGAAAGAAATTATAAAATGACAAGAATAAAGTCGTAAAATTACGAGAATAAGGTATTAAAATCTTCTGGTCGGAGCTCAAAGCTTTCTTTCTAAAAAGGGATGTTGAATGATAACTTAATTCTCGTAATATTGCAACTTTATTCTAAAAATAAACATTTTTAAAAATCTTTAGCCTGGCCGCAATACTCTCTGTATATCCCTTTCAGCTACTCTACATAAATGGCAAACCAACATGGTGTCTAGCCATTGGATGCAGTGTCCTCCATGTGTTTATAAACTAACTCTGAGCTATGAGAATGCTTTCATTTATGATGTGATGTTATTAGACCTAAACAAAATATGTAATTAGTAAAGCAATACTTTAATTTTTGTTCATTAACAGCCAAAATATCAAGACACTGTCCCTTTAAGAAGGAGGGTACAAATAATTGTGCTACCAAATATTTTATAATTACAGCAAAAAAATAAAGTTGTGATTATTTCCCCAATAGTTAGATATACTCAGATTGAAATTCTCCATTAATTACTCCGTCTGCACCAGACGTGCCAAAAAATGGATGGCAAGCATTGTAGAAACAAAACAGCTGAATAAAAATAATACCACATTTACTTCCTGTATTGGGTAAGTGGGTGAATACTTGATGCTACCTGTCCCGTTTCTGAAGCAGAACTGAAGGTGAATCAGAATAATCCACAAGGTATTAAAAAAAAGACCAACTTAGAAGGCTGATTCAGTTTTAAAATTATTTCCAAAGGCATCTTGTATGAATGTTAACCCTTGAGGCCTAAAACTTCAGCAGAACAGCTGTTTTACATTTACAAGCTATAATTAGACTCAGAAATGTCTGCTAAATTTTATTAAAAACAAAGTAGAATGAAACAAAGCTGCTCTGGTTCATCTGTTCTCCTGCTGATATCACATATTTTTGTATTTCTTTACAGGATTCAAGCTAAACTCGGCACAATGTTACACATCAGCTTTAGTCTTTAGCATTGTGCGCCAACTGTAGCATACTGCTGGTTATCCTCCTGCTACCTTGTGGACGACACTAGAGATTAACTGAATGGAACCAACTAATTCATGTCCTAATGATATAAAACATCCCGGTATTCTAGTTAACCAGGTCGTTATATCTGGGGGTGGGGTGGGGTGGGTGGGGGGGTGGAGGTGAATAAAAAAAGAGTGACCAAATTTGTTTTCAGTCACTACCTGCATGTTTAACTGAACACAGCAGATCTAATCAGCAGTTTGGTTTAGTGACGTGATGTTTGAGTCTGATGGCGGCTTCACTGAGCCTGCGTCGCTTGGTTCTTCATCTCCTGCCACTGCTTCTCCCGCAGACTGAGTTCTGCTTCAGAGAAAGCTGCCGGGCCCCAGTTGGTGATATTCTGTGGCCCCTTAGAACCTGTGGATGACAGGTAAATCATCACTCTCAATCACAGCTTTTCATTTAAAATATTTTAGATAATAAATACAATGGAGACTCAGATGGGGAAATCGTTCCGCAATGTTAAAGCAAGGATAACAGTGTTGCATGCAGGGGTGAATGTAAACTGGGACAGTCCGGTTCCATGTACCAGGGAAAGATTTAGAGGCAGTATACAGTTCTGCGAAGACCTCTTCCCTGATATTTAGCGCCACTAAAGTCAACGCAGTTATCAGTCTGAGTGACAGGTATGCAGCGTTTAAATCACCCACATGTTCAGTCAGTATGTGGTGCACTCTGACTATCCTTCACCAGCTGTGCTCGGGCACGAATCAGTCTCTGCGATAGCTCAGCTGCATGCCTACGCTAGCTCAGCAGCTCATTGCTTAAAAAAATCTGCACTCACATACATTTTTTTGTATAGTACTTGCAAAAATATAAAACTACTTTCATCATTCTGTTAGGTAGGCGGTTAAAGAAGCACCTACCATACCCAGGGTATCATATATATATATATGAAGTTTGGCCTCAGCGTGCACATCTGCTGTAGCCCACAGTGGTCCTCAATGTGATATGAACAATTAGAGGGAGCATTGTTTTTATCTATTTTAAAGAATTTTAGTCAAACTAAAATTCAACATCTCGTAAAAGTCACTGATGTTATATGTATTCCAGAGTCGTCGTCATATTTCTATAACAAAACAGCGGTTTCAGGTTTTTTATCTTTCCCAGATTATTACACAGAATAACTGAGTTGTTTGCCAGTGTAGTCTGGACCCCACAGTGGGGGTTTGAACTCCACAAATTACAACACATTAAAACATTCAATCCTGACATAATTTGTTCCCAGAAGCACCAGAAGACAAAACTATTCATGAGCGGAGAAGAATAGTGTTTTGGTAATTTGGGCGGTTGATATCGTCAATGGGATCTAGTTTAATTAGCTTTTTAAATATGTACATGATCTAACCAGTAACCTTCACACCAAAGGTTAAAGGTCACCGTCAGCACTGGTGTAACTTTTTGAAGGGTGGGGACAGTCCCCACCAATAATTTGTACATTTGTATTCGGCTCATTTACTTTAGCCAACAACAGTAACATCAGGATGCGCCCGGCTGTGTGTGTTCTGAGAGTTTTAAGTCAGTGCTATCCTGCTGCTCCTTAGTCCCGCCTACTGATATGACATCATTGGATTCTATTTCTTTGGCTCCACGTCTGTCACTTTATGATAGAACATGATTGGCTGTCGCTATTCACCGTGTTCCCAGTAGCTACGTGATTGGAGGAGAGACGACACACAGCAGCACTCATTAATATTAACCAGCAGCTACTTCAGGTTTTATTTCGAAAAAAAAAAAAAGTAGTAGACGGGTTGGTATAAAAAAAAAAAGATGCCACCGAAAAAGTCGTCAGACATACGGAGCTTTTTCAACAACAACAAAAAAAAAAAGCAATGGAGTGTAAGTAGCCTTGAAAATCAATATTATAATGCAATAAGTTTGACAAAACCAGGTGTTTAAATAGTTTCTTTGCTAGTTAAAAAAAGCAAAACATCTCAGTTTTTTTTTCCTGTTTTTATTTGTTATTAATGTTGCCGATGTTTCTGAGCCATTACAAAAGAGCCACTTAAAGGAACCAGTCTATCTGTACATTATAATATTTTTATTTTGTTACTGTTGCATTCTCAGCAATATGAAAGCAATCAATAAATGTGCGGCGTTCAAATTTGTGTTTGGGCCTATTTTTAGCTAAATACATAAAACCTATCCTATATCAATGCTGTAACTGCAGGTTCATCATCCCCAACCCTTATATCAGGGGTAACCAATTAAAAATCAGTGGGGTCCGAATAAAGAAAATCATCAACCAGTAAAGGTCCGTAGATATTTTAAATGATCTGTTACTTTAAACAGAATTTAACACTGAAATAAAATTAGGTGTTTATGCATCAATGTTATACATTGAATTTTTTTAGTAAAAAATAAGAAAAAAATAAAGATTTTTTTTCTATTTTAAAATCTAAATTGTTTTTTGAAGTAGGGAACAACAATAGTTTGGTATAAAGGCAATTTCTTGATTCACATATTTTATTAAACACCTGAACTGACTGTTATTTTCCTTCTTTTTTTCTGGCTTAATGAGAGCAGTGGGCTTTAAGGCTGACCTGCAAAGCTTTAAACCCGGGTTTGAATGGAGACAAAGCCATTCTAAAGCACATATTAAGGAGCTAATTTTAAGCCTGGATCCATATTTATTTTTGATTCTGTTCATGGTGGAGAATCCTGTTTCACAGCAGCAGGTTGAGCCAAACATACTCTAAATATTCAGGCTCCGCTCCGCTCCGGTCTGGTCCGGCCAGGTCAAGATCCGCTATTGCAATCGCACCAAATAAGAAAAAGAACGGCGAGAAGATCCGGTTTGTCAACTTAAAATATGGTAACAACAGATTGGTAATTAGAGCATAATTCTTATATATTTCAAAAACCTAACAGCGTTTATTTAAAAGATTGGATGCAAGGTATTGGTCTATGGAAGTAAATCTGTGCCACTGGAATATAAATAAAAAATGTCACTAAAATATAAATGTTGTATGTTTGTACTCTGTGTTAAAATATATTCAGAAAACATTTTCAACCTAAAAAAGATTTATTGTCACTATATCTATATAGTTGAAATTATATTTGTTATTTTCACTTCAAGGTAAAAATTCACATTACAATTTCATAGTTAATACATTTTATATACCTGTTTTTTTTTCAGTTTAACTTTTCAGTGTTAAAAAAAGCAGCATATAAAAAATTCAGCCTTTCAAAATTCTAACTCAATATTTTCAGCAACTCAGATTCAACTGGCTCAATTTCACTGTGTTAAATTCGGCGTCTAGATTCAATGTGAAAAGTGAAGGGTTACTTCAGGTCACAGACATTAGCAATGGATTGTGGTGTCCAACACCCAGCCAATCCCGTTACAATACTTGCTTGCAAATGCAACTTGCAATACTACAGAAAAATGAAAGCAATAAACTCACCGATGCGTTAGCTTGCCTGACCGCCTCCGTGATTCTGGTTTTCCTTCAGTATGAGCGCCAAAACCATCCCGTCACGTGACTAAGAAACTGTAACGGGATTGGCTGGGTAGGCTGCCATGACTTATACTTATAAATCCTCTTCCACTATTGTGGTATTGAAGGATGTAATCAGCTCTAATACACACTAATCATCTCGTTATTACGAGCAAACGGCTTTCTAATGAGAAAATTATCATTTCGTTATCGAGAAAAAAAACGGCTTTTGTTCTTTAGATAAAAAATTAACTTGTTTTCTTGAGAAAACCCTTGAGAACTGTGAACCAATGTGAAAAAGTATCAGAGGGACATTACTGCTCTCGGCTTTCGTAGAATTTCACTAAACGGAAACTGTATTATATGCAGTGTTATGCCTGAACGCGTTAATTGAACAAAAGTTCATGAACTTGTTCATATTTTGGGCGAACGTGAACTGAACGTACTGCATTACTGCCTGATGAACGTTATTGTGAACTCGTTCATTCTGGTGTCTGTGAACGGCACGCTCTCTCAGTTCAACTCCGTTCAATAGGTTGCCAGATTTCTATAGAGCCCTCCAGGCGAAACCCCGGCTAAATCACACCGTAAACAGGCCTTAATATGTAGCGGGAAAAACACCCAATCTGGCAACACCAGCTACCAGTGTCGTAGCCTACAGCCGCGTGCGTCATCAAAACAAAATGCAGCGTGGAAGCCACAGCAGCATGGAGGCGACAAAGCAGCAGTATGATCACTTAAAACAGTTTTATGACCAGGTGGTCGGTGAGGATGATGGCAACAATCTTACATTTCTCTGCAAACTTTGCCCGCCGGCTTTCAGTAAAAAAAATCTGCCCCTAAACCTGCCTGGTATAATTTTCCAGGATTCCAGTATTCCTTTTTAGTATGGTAAGGGAGACAGTGGCGTTGGATGGAGGAGTTTGCCCTGTAATCGAAGGGTTGACGGTTCAAGCCCCGACTCCGACTTTCATTGTCGTTGTGTCCTTGGGCAAGACACTTCACCTGCATTGTCTACTGATGGTGGTCAGAGGGCCCGGTGGCGCCAGTGTACGGCAGCCTCGCTTCTGTCAGTGAGCCCCAGGGCAGCTGTGGCTACAATGTAGCTTGCCACCATCAGTGTGTGAGTGTGTGTGTGAATGGGTGAATGAATGTAGTGTAAAGCGCTTTGGTCAAGTCTCCTAACTTGAATAAAGGCGCTATATAAGTACATGCCATTTACCATTTACCATGTACTGAAATGGAATTTCAAATGGAAAAAATTATTAAAATAAAAAAAAAAAACATTTGCACCTTAAAGACTACTTTCCTGTTTTTCTTTTAATAATTCCTCATAAAAAAAGGCCATTCAAGCAGCACATTTTTCCTGATGTTTTTGAGAATATACTGTAGGGGTGAAAGCTGCAGCTGCTACTAGTGTGAAGTGAATGGACAGCAACAAAGCATTAAAGCAACAATGGGGAAATGCTGTCCCCTCAAGGCTAATGTAAACCCTGATTGGATAAGGATTCAAAACTGGATATGAAGATGAAATCTGACGCACAGTTTCAGTGTTACAACTGATAAAATAATTGCTGTCTGTGGTTCTACAGTAGGCTATGGTGTAATTGAGCAATATATATATATATAAAAAAAAGAACTATGAACTAGTTCATCTTTTGGAACTGTGAACTTAGTTCAAGATTTTGAATTATGAACTATGAACTGAACTAGTTCATTTTAAAATGTGTGAACTGAACTTTGAACAAGTTCACGTAGAAAGAGAACTTTCCCAACACTGATTATATGACGGAATAAACGGGAGAAGATTTGAACAGGAGAGCATTCCTCAGACAATTAGCTCATCTGTCAGAAAATCCTGATAAACATTTCTGGTTGTGAATACTTTTGCTGTAAAGTGTTTACATCCGAAATGAAACATCAGAAAAAAGATATTCATTGTAGTAATCCTGAAAAGTGAAGCCTTAAACACGTCCAGTATCCGACTATAAGGGGACAGAGGAAGGCGGCAGTTTGTACCTGGTTGAATGAGCCGTAACATCCCCTCATGTTGAGCCACTTTGTGCTTCCATGACCTGGTGTTGTTGGTTGCATCTTCCAGCTTTTTCATCACCGTCTAATTCATGCAAAGGGAGTCAAAGTTACTTTAGAGACCTTATTGATTATACATTCACAGATATTTTGTAGCTTCACTAAGAAATATTATAACTCTTGACATTATGAAGTCTAAAATAAGCCTGTAGAATAATACTATGCAGCAGGACAACAAAACTGAGACACTTAAAATAATGAATGAAGATGGAGAATGAGAACCACATCCTTCCTAAAGATTAATCATCTTTAAGATTGGTCATCTTGTTTACTGGACGTCTTGGAGCTTTAAAGTGTAAATAACAGTAAATAACAACCTTTAAATATCTGATAAATGCTCTGACTTGTTCTAGGCTTATTAAAGGGGTCATAGAATGATTCTATAGGGTATTTAGTGCTGCTCCTTAAGGTCTCTGAATAGGCTGTGTAACATTGGTTGGGCTGAAAATGGCATATTTGCTGTTCTATGAGCCCTAATGCAAGCCTGGTTATAAGCCCCAGAATGAAACAACAGGTTTTCTTAGTATAAAAACTTTGTTCCTTTATTAAGTAGAAATGTCGGCTATATTAACTTTACTGGAGTAATTCATTATTTTGCCATTTTATCTGCTTGCTCCTCCTTATTTGTCAAAAATAGACGCGTAACTTTTTTTTATTTAAGTTCATTTTCATTATGGCCTGTTAGTATATATATAAAAAAAAATCAAAACCAACCAAATTATTTGTTTCATCCCTAAAATGTATTTGTCGTTGAACTGGGTGCTGCCCCAACTTGTTGTTTCCCTCATACCAAAATAAATAGTTTTCAAGATGATGTACAGTTAAATCTGACACTATTACCATTAGTTATAGAACTAAGAAAATGAAGTATAAGGAAGTTATCTTCCAGAATTGTAGAAAATGCTCCTTTAATAGTTTGGCACAAGAAAACTTCTATCCTTAACATTTTTTCCTACATTACTTTCACTTTTATAATTTAAGTTGTTTTAAAAATTTTACTTTTAGACTTTTACTAGTTGAAAGTCGTAAGGAAGCAGCTGTTCCAACCGTTGCATTTCCAAATTCTCCCGAGTGGTGGACGACTTTACACGAGTGAATAAAGTGAATTTGATTGGTCGTTTATCAGGAGGATGAACGATTGTTGTGGCGGAAGCAAGGGCGTAGGAATATGTTTACTATTGGGGGGGACACATGTCGGAAATCTGAGATTCGTATTCAACAGAAACATATCTTAAGTACGCTACTTAAAAAAAAGGCTATTTAATCTTTTACTTTATTCCTTTATAAATGTGTTTGCAAAAATAATGTATTTAAAATGTACATAATGCATTTGTTCATAAGATGTGAGCATATCACCAAACAAAATGACTGGAGTCTTTTATTAAGCAAAGGGAGATGTCTTTCAAGGTCTTCAACCCTTGGCATATTTAGTGTCTGCATCACACTAGAAAATCAAATATTTCAGTTTGATTAAAAACAATTCACTAAGCCACACATGTGCAAAGTTTGATATGTTTTATTTTGTCAAACTTGCAATAATGGTCAAAAATGAATTTATATAGGTTGACTGACAGAGGGAGCTGACAGTGTGTTGAAGAATTATGGACAGGGCGCTTTGAAGCATCTGGTTCAAAAACGCATTATCAACCTTTGGTAGAAATCCATCCATCCTTCCATTTTCTGTACACCCTGTCCCTTAGTGGGGTCGGGAGGTGCTGGTGCGGGGTACACCCTAGACAGGTTGCCAGTCTGTCCAGACCTTTGGTAGAAATGGCGCCTTTAATTCCAGTTTGCAGTACAGAACAGAGAAAACTACAGAGTTGTCAATGTTGTGTTAATCTGTTTATCGTCTAAAAAGAGGAGCCAGCAGTTTATTTGAGGAAATAAAGGTGCAGAAGTTAATTAGTTGGTTAATTATGGGTTGTGCAGTGGACTGCTGCACAACCAATGCGGCCGCCGCTGCTAAGAATTAAAATTAATTCTCCCTGTGGTTTTAACTAACGATCAGGAGCGCGGCAGGTATAACATCTGTCAATTTCGGCGAATCAAAACCACGCAAAAAATAAAAAAATCCTCGTTAAACGCACGCCCAGATCGGGCTAATTTCAACACAAGTTGTGTTAGGTGACTGTTACTCACACTGACGTTTCTCTTTTTAAAAAAATCTGAGTAAGTCCTACTGCTGTTTCAGCCTTTTAGTTGGTGGTGGTATTGTACTGAAATGAGATATAAAAAAAAATATATAAAAAAAACATTTTGGCTAGCGTGGCAAACGTCTAGAGAAAGTTAGCAGTTAAATATTGGATGAGTGATCATCCCAAGACTACGGAAGAGGATTAGGGCCACTGAAAAAAAAAAAAAAAGTTAAGGGATTTTTAAATTTCATTTCAGTTTAATACGGGAAAAAGGTCAGAATTCTGACTTTAATCTCAGAATTTTGGATCTTAATGTAGATGGTCACCATGAAGGAAGAGATGTGGAGCACTCAGCTTCACTGACAAAGATGTGAGTTGTTTGAGAGAGCCAGTGACACATTGGTGGAAAATGACGGAATTAGGCAACTTTTTACGTGCCCGTGGGGTCCCCTCATTAATGGAGGAGCAGAAGAGAGCTAGTCTCTAAAACAGACATGGCTATGGCTGGATGCTAACATGTTTGTTTTTAAACATACTTTTGTTATATTACATTTGTGTTGTGTTTTCCAAATAATGTAGAAAATGGATGGTGGGTTTATAATGTTTACCTTTTATGAGCAGGACAGGAAGCAGAGAAGGGTAGCATTACCTCCAACTAGTTAAACTCATAATTATGAAGTTATTCAACAAATTCCTCAAGTAAAAAAGTGCAACTTTTATTTTTTATTTCTTTTTGTTGTTTTTTTTTTACCAGATTTGTTGATTAATTTCAAAATTATGTATTCCTTCCAAATTTCCAAATCTGAAGAATTTTTAAACCAATATCTACATTATTTAACATTTAGTTTGTTTTAGCAGTACTTCCTGTTATATTTCTTTATACATATATTTTACATTTTCTTGCACAGCAAGCTCAGCAGATTTGAAATTGTGTGCTTGTGTAAACACAAGTAGTCAATCTTTACTCTAAACATATATTCTGGTTATTTTTTAGTTAGACCTGATTGTTTTTATGTATCTGTATAAGTACCCCCCGAAAAAAAATAAAAACACTGTAAATTGATTAGAAATATTAATCATCTGTCAGATTTCTGAGAAAAAAGTCAGAATTCTGAGAAAAAGTCAGAAGAAAAAAGTCAGAATTCTGAGAAAAGTCAGAATTCTGACTTTTTTCCCCATGTTAAACTAAAAAAAAAAAATGTAAAAATCAGTTAACTTTTTTTTTCCAGTGGCCCTAATCCTCTTCCGTACAAGACTAAGATGACTAAACCAAAAAGATTCAGTTTCTATATATGAAAGTGAACTAAAAACAAAACGTTATAAATAGGCAATATTCATAGCAGCATCCCGACAGACTATTTTACCTCTTTCACAAGTTTCTGATTTCTGTGTCGCCGTTTCCCTCCCTGCTGACTGAGTGCTCAAACACTCAGCAGTTCAGAGAGGGGAGGGGGAGTACAGTGACGTAACGCTATGCTGCGCCTTCAAAATAAAAGCACGCTAGTTAAAAAAATGTCAAAATCTAATATTTTGCGGTACAATTTTTGGGGGGGACATATCCACCTGGCTTTTATATTGGGGGGGACATGTCCCCCCCGTCCCCCCCGCTTCCTACGCCGCTGGGCGGAAGGTTCCTAAGCAAGTTTGGTTGTAGCCGGTTTGTCGGAAGCATCTTGCTAACCAGTTAGCAACTTAGTGCTAGTAGGTTCCCAATGGGAAATTATATTGGGACCAAGTAGCACTAAACTGGTGACTTAGAAACAACACTGTCAAGGAACGCTATGGACAGCGGAAACATGCAAGAGGAGGAGAGTTTAGTGTCGGAGGTCATGGATGAGTCTCCTCTGTCATCCATTTTTTATTTAGAGGAGGAAAGCGGGGACGAAGATGTTGTGGAAGAGGACGCCAGAGCAGCAGAAGCTTGGTTTGGTGTAGAAGGCTTACAGCCGTACATGTTTGAGCCCTTGCCTCACAACCCTGCCAGTTCTGTTAGCTCTACGCCTGCCGAAGACACAGACGTCCATCTGAACACTGGGACGAAACTCAATGGGAAAGGACATTTTTCTTATTTCTTATTTCAACTGTTGCGTATATTAGCTGCGACATATGAATCAAGATGCTATGACCAAAATAATTTGATTGACAGATGACCGTTGATGTATGATTGGCCGAATTTAGGTTAACAGGCTGACGTATAACTAACTGGCCTGCATAAGATAAGAGAATTATTTTTTAAACATAAATTTTCTAAATTTTGGGACAGAACATTTATATATAACAGAACATTTATATACATATTTAAGCCAGAATGATTTGACATTTAAATGTGATTAAGTGTTTTTAAACAGTAGGATTTAAACTTCTACTTGATTAATAAACATTAATACTTTGCTCTGCTGTTCAGCCATTGTGTAAGAAAAAACAACCAGGCGGAAACACCATTTGTTAGAGAGAGGCTCCCTGTGTTTACACCTAGGAGCTTTCTCTCTCTGGTTCTTTTTCCTGTAAAGAGATCACTTGGGACAAACTCTTTAAATAACACTTCATAAATTATATGAAGTTTTTTTTTATAGAAATTGTAATCTTAACCAGATCAGAGAAGTTGCTTAGGGTTACAGAAGGTAGCTACTTACCCCCCGGCTCACCTCTCAGGAAGTGGCCCCGATAAACAGTTAAAGAGGCATTTCATACATCTCCAGTCTGTCACATCATCACATCATTACACCATGCACTTTAGCAGATGAGGAGACATTCATGGCTCCAGCCTTATCAAAATATTACACTTTGTTCTTAGCTGAAGAACACCGCTCTCATTCCATTTCCAAATCTTTGCCACGTACAAAATGAAGATTATAACTGTATATATCCGGACAGAGGAACTGTCTTAATTAGATAAACTAATTTGGAAAACATCAGTTCTGACATGCAACAGGCAGCTAATATTGAGGTGTAATAAACTCACACATCATCAATGATAATTATCCTAACAATTCGATATTGGTTTATCACATATGGTTGACTGAATTACTGGATTTGTCAGACACCCCCCTTTAAAATCTACAGTTCTTCACCACCTCTCAGCACATTGAGAAACTGGATGGTCAGTAAACCCACTTTGCTCCTGCTAGTTTTCCTCTGTAATGCCGGGGCCAGCTCTCTGCAGAGCTACAAAAGTATTCCCCTCAGCAGCTTTATAAACAAAACAACTTTTGATTTTATTTCCTCATTTAAAAAGAGCAAAATGATTATAAATGTCACTGTGCTCTGTGCTACTATGGTCTGTCAATTTTACAGAAAGAACTCCATTTCATTCATTGCATCCCTGCCATGCTGCTGTGTTTTCACCTGAGAGTAAGAAGAAGAACAATCCTTGATTGCGCACGCCCACTAAGCGGTTTGCCCACGACCACCTTACGACAGCCCAGAATTTCACACATTTTGATTTTCTCCCGACCTTACGATTCCTGATTGGGAGGTGGTCATGAGAGGCTGATCGCCCCTTGTTACCCCCTGTTCACTACATGACGAACAACGCATCAGACTGCAAGTCGGCCCCATCGAACAATTCTTGCAAGACTGGAGAATCAGCCCATAAAGAGCAAAATATCGTACAGTTAATGCCCGGCTTTACAGTGTGAGTAGTTCACTTGCATTTATTTTGAATAAAACTGCTTCTCTGAGTATTTATTATACATGTGTACTTTTCATTGAATTTTGTCTTGATATTCTAGGGCTTGTCCAAATTCAAAAATAACTTTATCTGAAGTGTTTGGGGGGAATCTGCTGATGTGGCACACTTTTATTCTCAGTAAGTTAGAAGAAAATATATACATTGAGTCATATTTAATTAATTTACTTTGGTTTTAGTTCTTATTAATTTGATAATGCAGCATTATTACTACAGGTGTAGGTTTTCAAGTATTACCACAGGGATCATTTGTATCCATTCCAGCTTGCAGAAGTTGAGTGGGAGGGTTTTTGTCTGGAAGCTAACAGCTAAGGTCCTGAAAATGTGAAAGCGTTTTCCTCTTGGCTGCTGACTGACCTGATATTGCGCCAGCGCCCCTTGCCTCTCCTGTTCCAGCTCTTCCAGCTGTTTCATCGCAGCCTGCAGGGCGCTCTCCTTAGCCAGACGTTCCTTCTCCAACTCCTGTTTCTCCGCCTCGGTTTCAGAGATGGCCCGCTGCTGATGCAGGTGGATCACCTCCAACTCTGCTCTCTTCTCAGCCTCCTCCTCAAGCAGCCTGCTCCACACACAGACATGCAATGCAGTTAACAGTCTCATACAGGGGCAGGAATATAGGCCAGTAAAATAAATCCTAACACCCTGCTGTCAACTGTTTAGATAACTGAATTCATAGAAACTGAAACCACTGAGTGGTCTCCTCTGGTCATGAAGGAGTCACCAATGAGAGTAAACCCACTGAGGCGTTCTGATGGTATTTTTAGTATGATGACCTCGCTGCTGCATTTCTTCCCCCAGTGAAGTTTTTATCTTTCCACCCCAATGCAGGGGACAAAAACATCTCGCCAGGTCAACCAGGCCAACAATTCCCCCTAACAACCCCCAGATGGATAGATCATTATCAGGTACTGCAGGCCAACAAAGAACCCAAACGACTCCCCATTCCTAAGGGGCGGACCCATTCTTCTGGTTCAATTTGCATGTTTTCTAAGCCAAAACAAGTTTTTGGGCAACTATATAAAGCTTCGAACTCAATGGAGTTCTTCGATGGAAAGCGAAACGTCTTCAAACTTGGGGGAAAAAGTTCATTGGATTGTTTTTCAACTTCTTTGGAATAAAGCTCCTACTTTCCTGAACCACTATTAATTTGCAGTAAGAAACCAAACTTTTTATTTCTTTATTCCAACACAAAAGGAGCTTTACACAGAGCCTTCACGGAGCTGAATACTAGATAATGACCTGTAGTGTTAAACATTTTATACAGTCTTGAAACCATCATGTTGACCGGGTCATTCATATTCAAAAGGAGGAAACTTTTTTCTTTTTCTTCTTTTTCTTTTCTTTTTTTACTTGCTTTTATTCTGTTTTTTGTGGTCCAATTGTTTTATTTGTTTTACAAATGTTTTTGCTTTTATTTTTCTTCCATTATATTATCTAATTCATGTAAATCACTTTGAATTGTGGTGGGGGAGTGGTGGCCACAGACTGCCACTCTGGGACTCTGAGCAAAGACCCTTAACCCCCAATTGCTCCTCAGGCGCCCCACTATGGCAGCCCACTGCTCCCCAAGGGGATGGGTTAAATGCAGAGGTAAATTTCTCCCATGTGAGATCAATAAAGTTAAATTATCTACTGAATTGTGCTATACAAATAAAATTGCCTTGCCACAGTTTGACTTTAATATAACGAGGAAAACATACTGAGTTGCTTGTAACTGTGGAAAACCAGCAGTCACAGTGGCTGCTGAGCAAAAAAACTTGATGTTATATTGTTATAAATATCAGACTTGATAAAAAAATGAGTTAATTCATTCTCTATGTCTCGTCGACTTTCCACCCAAAAAGCTGGATTATTAGTTTTATTCTTATAGCTTTTATCAGTTTAAAAACTAAAACAAAGATCCACTTGTGTTTATGTGGATGTTCCTGTCATGTTTTTAGTGTCTGGGATCAAAGACAGTTTTTCAGTCCAAGGTTGAATATTTTTGTGTCAGCAGGTGGCGCTGTTGTGCTTTTATTGTCACCAGCTGTAAATTCAAGATTAACAGAAGTAGTTTTACATTTAGTTTACGTCAACACTACCATTCTGGTAGGTTCTTCAGTCACTTTCAACAGGAGGGTAGAAAACTCAGTTTTTTCTAATAAATCATATTTGGTTTGGAGTTTTTTTTTTTTGACCCATAAACACAAAAATGGATGAACTACTGTGATAAATACACAGATAACGTGCTCTTCTCAGTAAACAGAGGGAACTTAGTATAACCAATACATATTAGCACACTTCCTTGTAGTAGCAAACAAACCCCACCGAGAGGTTTTCCAATGATAAATTCTGCCCTTTAAACTTTTAGATGAATGGAAATAGTCCATTTAGCTGAAACTTAAGGATAGATTGTTGTCTTTAGACAGTGACTGGACTTAGGAATGACACACTCTGCTCTGTTTAGCAACTGCAAAGTGGAAAGCTAAGGTCAGCAGAGAGGAAGGAAGGACTACAGGGGAAAAAGAATGAATGACTTGTTGAGACTCCCACTAAAAAAGCAGAAGGAGGAAGATCTCACAGGGCTTTTTGGACGTTAACTGATGATTCATCTTATTCTACCCAATTGCGGGAGATGTAAGGATTTATTTTTTCTTCCTGTGAGGATAGTGGCTTCTCCGTCTCCAGCCTTTGGACTGACCGTGCCTGCAGCTTGCGGACGGTTTCCTCATCTTGTCTGGCCCGTTTCTCCTCCTCCAAAGCCCCCTCCAGCTGATGGTACATGTCCTCCAGCTCCTGGACCCTCTGCAGATACTGCTCCAGCTCACATGACTTCTGGGCCACCTGCTCCTCCATCTGCTGTCGTACCTGTTCAGCCACAAATTGAACCCAGTTTCTTTTGTTTCCCCAAAAAGTGTCTCTGTAGAAGTATGGAGGGAATTTTGTTCCATTACTAATGAAGGCAAGAAATAAAAGAAAAATGCAATCCAGAAAGGAAACTTTGAAAAACTTCTTAATCAAAGAAAAAATTGACAGTAATTATGCTGCTATTCCTAGATTTTTTTCAAATTATTATTTTCTTTGCTGTCGTTGGCACAGTTTGTAGCACAGCTGCCTTGTAGCAAGAAGGTTCTGAGTTCGATTTCCGGCACTGGCTCTTTCTGTATGGAGTTTGTATGCTTTCCCTGCGTGGGTTCTCTACAAGTACTGCAGCTTCCTCCCACAGTCCAAAAACATGACTGTTAGGTTAATTGGCTTCTCTAAATTGTCGTTAAGGTTTACAGTGTGTGTGCATGGTCGTGTGTCTTTGTGTGTCTCTTTGTTGCCTTTCACCAAAGAGTTGCCTTGTCTCTGCTTGCCACAATATTGGAACAGAATTTACTCCATACAGAAACGGTTCTGACTATTAGGTCAAATTAGCTCAGATTTGCTCATTTCTTAGGCTGGAAATAGAAACTTTAAAATAAAAAAACTGATTTTCAAGTTCCCAAGCAACTGGTAACATCAATACTGATCACGTACAGTTGAGAGTATAGAAATGTATGTATGATGAACTATAAAAAACAGGAGAAATGAAATAGAAAGCAAACAGTGGAGAAGGCCTTCTGAGCAGAAATACACAGATAAACATTTCTGTAGAAAGCCCATCACACAACCACACTGTGCACTCAGTGTTTCATGTTGCTTTCAGAGGAAGCGATGCACCAGATGAAACATTTCATGCCATTACATTTACCAGATGTGTATTTCAGTAATGCCTCCATCAAACCCTGCTACATATCACCTGAGCTAGCTTTATATGTTTTTAACTGTTCAAGTATTTTTCCAACATTTTCCTTTTTTTAAAGCTTGCCTGCTGATATACAAGTAAAAACTGAGAATATAAATGAGAAAATAGAACTTAGTCTGATGGGTATGGAATAAAGTTTACTCCATTATTGGAAACAAAACACGCATTTGACTAATTGAAATAAAAAAAACCTGGTGTGTAAATTGACATTAGATAAAAAAATTATTTCGATCATTAATTTCAGTTTTTTTCTACCTTTATTTCAGATTGAGTTTTAAAAATTTCATTCTTTTTCAAATTGCGTTTCCAGATCACATTCATTTCATTTCTGGGGGCGGGCTTTCCTCTGCAGTGAGGATTAAAGACACGTTTTTATTGGTCTGCATTGCAACATTTTTTATTGGTCAAGAGCGAGCGAATGTGAGAGGAAAAGGTGATCTGTAGAACACAATTTAAAAAGAATCCAGTTTATAAAGCTCAATCTGAGAGAAATTAGAAAAAGATAAAACGTGAAACTATAAAATAGGTAAATAAAAAAAGTTACGATTGAAAACATAGAATTTGAAAAAAAAAATTTGCAAAACTTATACGTATAAATCAAAACAGAAATTTATTCTTAAAACTTATTTTTAAATCAAGTTTTTCAAAGTTTCCCTGTGGGTTGCATTACCTTGAAACCATTTGTTTTTTTTTGCTTGCAAAAATAATGGCGCAAAATTCACACCGTATTTATGCAGCTGATTTGGTGCCGGGAGGCAGAGCTGAATAACGTACCATCTTTTCTCTCTCAAGCTCCACCCTGTAGCGGTCCTGGAGTTCAGTGTGGGTCAAGAGGCGCTTTTTCTCTTCCTCGGCTGCTTTTGCTGCCGCTTCCTCCAGAGCCTGATCAAAGGGAAAATCGCATTAATACAAAAACCAGAAATTTGAAAACAAATAATAAAAGCAGAGTTTTAACAGGTATTAATAAAGTTTTACACAGGAGTCTAAAAAGATGAGGAATAATGTTATGATAAAAACATTCAGGAGAAAATATTTGTAAATGAACCATGAAACAGATCCACTTTTATTCTCTTTAGGTATAAAGATGACTCTTTCAAAAGGACTTTATGTCAGCATTACACACCAAGAAGAGCATGGTTTCAGCCATTAAATGAATTTAATTTAATCAAGCCTATTTTACCTTAAGACTTAGACTTGACTATGCAGAATGTATACAAAAGAAATCACCTTGCTTACAGCTTTCAACGGTGAAATGAGCAGCTTATGACAGTAAAAGAACATTACAATTTAAAGTGCAGCAATGATCATCATGTAAAAAGTGTAGGAGAAAAAGAAAAAGGTTAAGTGCAGTGCAAAATAAATATGGTGCAAAATGCAGTATAACGTTTGCGTCCTATTTAAAAGGATTATAAAAGTTTCAGCCACATATTAACCAACTTTTCATAAAGTTTATAGTTTTTTTCTGCAAACTGTAATGAAGAGCATTCATTTTATTGCACAAATTAGAATTTTTAAATACCAGATAAACAACAGGATCAATGTCAGCCTGGATTTGACAGCTAATGCACTGCATTCAAGAATTCATCTAAATGGTTTAAATAGAAGGGAGTTTTTTTTAAGTACCGAGCAGCATAAATGTCAGAGCAACATTCTGAGGGTTGAAGCTGTGCAGGTTTTTGAGCTGCAGCATCACACAGGAGTGAACTGCATTAAAGACAGGGAGCTAGCTTTTAGCGACGGCACATTTAGTAACGGGGAGTTTAAAGCCTTCGTGTGTCTATTTGTGTCTGTCTGTGTGCTCCTTGTGCATTCACGCAGCTGACAATGAGAGATGGAGTCCTTCACCTCAACGCTAAGCCTGTCGTGCATTCTCGCACGGTCGTCCCACACAAAGAAAACACTGTTCTCTTGTGAGCGCAACATGTGAAATATTTCAGTGCGACCATTCAGCTCCCTGTTTGTCATCATGATGCTGCTGCCTGCACACTATCCTGCAGTGCACTGAGCTCTCTGAAGTCAGAGGTTAATTTCATGCTTTTCAAAAAGGAAAATCTTGAAACTTTAAACTGTTTGTTAGGCTACTGTTATGTGAAAATTAAATGAGTCTATTTCAATATCCATCAATCAATGTGATTAAGGTCTAAAGTTTAAGTCAGCAGTCTAAATTCAGCTGTAAAGTTGACCAATAATAGCGTTATTATTATTTTTTTTTTTACAATTTGCAATGTTTGTTATTTTTCTTAAACAAACATGGAGAGAGATGTCATATTTCCCTAAAACTGCAGAATAAGTGTTGGCTCTTTCATTTGTGGAAAAAACAGCACACATGAAAGATGAGCTGGTACTGACAGGTCTGAATACCAAAAACGGACCCACTCCATCTACTAGGACTGGTTGAGTAATTTTTCTATATCTACTGACTCAGCAATAACACACTGACCAGTGAAGGAAATTAACATCTATTAAAGTTCTGTGTTCGTCCAATGACATGATCACAACAAGCCTTTAGAGCAAACCCAACCTGATTTAAACATTCTTAAATTACGGCATGTTGTCCGACGACAGTGTCTAACTTCACTTGCACTGCTTGTCCTGTTAATACGGTAAAGCCGTCCAGAGCGTCCGGCCCCAGGCTGCACGTGATACAAATTAGCAATGAGCTGCTGTCAGTCTGGGTTGCTGCTGCTAGCACATTCCATCATATCTTCATTCATTTTAAACTCTAGCCATGATTAGAATAAATATACATTTGGCTATATCATCCTCTTGTGTCCACTCCGTGTTTACAAAATGACAATAAAAGTAGGCTAAGTCCAAGTCTTGAATTGAAGTTTAATAAATATATAATAAGCTAAACACTTTTTTTTAAGTCCTGCAGTACAAATAATTTAAAGGAGTCAGTGGGAAAAGTAAAAAAAAAAGTCAACTCCGAAGATAAATTTCATTAACTGTAAAGCTGACGTTGTCAGCAAACCAAATGTCTGTGATGCAGCTAAAAGAAAATGGTAAATCACCATCAGTCTGTTGAAGCCAGGGGGGGATTTACCATTAGGCCATACTAGGCAGTTGCCTTACCATACCAAAACATGTATGGTTAATACAACTATTCCTCATTTGTGAACATTAATTGTGTTTTTGATAAAACTCATTTAACTAAAATGCCATCAGAACGCTTAGAATATTAAATGTGTCCATGCCCCCCCCATCAGTGTCCACCACATTGTATCAGTCCATTTGCTGCACATGTTCAGAAAGGTCCAAACAGACAGCAGCAAAACATTTGAAAACAAACGATGTTAAGAGCAGTGTTGCCAACGTAGAGCTTTTGTCGCTATATTTAGCAACTTTTCAGACCCCTCTAATGCTTTTATTTTTAAAAAACTCCTAGTGCCAAATCTAGCGACTTTTTTCTGCAACTGGAGACTTTAGGGACAATATATAAAAGCAGCGAACTCTGCTCTCCAAAGCAAGTAAATTTCAGGTAAGCAGATCATGGCTTGTCTACAGTGAAAAGAAGGATTGTCTTATTTACTTTTGCCGTCGCCTTTTTGGTAACACAGGAAGGAGAAATCAGCTAAGTGAGCTTAGTGATTGGAAACAATCTTTCATTCCTTTTGAGACAGCATGAAAAGTCAGCTGAGTACAAAACATAGAGAGGAAAACAACAAGAAAAGGGAGAAGAAGAGAGGGACAAAAACTAAGAACAAATAATGTGTCATTTCTATTAAAATATTTGTATCTGTATAATCGGTGTGTTTTATGTGTTGTCTTCTCCCCTGCCTGTGTTTGCCTAGGGCCAAAAAGTTCCTAAATCCGCCCCTGGTTGAAGCATAAAGCTGGATTCTACTGCAGCCCAACAACAGCGTCCGATTAAAGAAATAAAGAGGATTCTGGTTTAAAAAAGAAAACAGCTTTCTAATAAAGTTGTTCATGAGCTGCAGAATGAGGCTGATCTTTCATTTCTATGTATGAGCTGGCAGAAGTTTCAGGGCAAACCATTCATTTCAGTTTTTAGGTGACCCACTTTGATTGGCTGAAACAATAGTTTGTGTGTCTGAAACCAGCAGTGCGTAGAGCAAAGAGCAGCAGAGATAGCAGGGCACTAAAGATACAGAGCTGTGATTTAACATCTGAGGAATGCTGCTGAATCGATTTCAACTACTGAACCAAAACTGGGCAGCTGTGACCTAGAAGTGCTTGCGGGAAAACTATTTTTCATCTTGGGGCATATGAACCTTGAAGAGGTGAAGAATTTAAAAACAGATTATCAGTAAAATATGTTGTCTTTGCATCACTGGACCATTTGTTTACCACTTGTCCCACAGCTTGGTGTAGGAATGTGAGTCATTCAGCAGGTTTGTTTTGGTTTTTGTGAGCAAAGCATGTTTTATTCTGGGACACATGTCTGCCTTCATGCTTCTATTCACACACTGCTGAAAAAAACAACAATAAAACCAAAACACTCCAATCCAACCTCAACCTTGACAGACTGGATTTCTATTAACCCTTTGCCCCTCCCACCTTGGAGATCAGATAGATTCTCTAATCCAGTGATTTTACAGGTCTAAACACTCAATGACAACTTCCACTTAAAGAGGGTTTAAGAAAACATGAAACAAGCTCAGATGAAGGTTGTGGTGATGATTTGAGTTGTTGTGGTTGAGGCGGCCTTTGCTCTCCTATGGGGCAGAGAGGAAGTGGGGGAAACAGAGCTGCAACCGAGCTGTAATGTGACTAAGCTTCGGTGCAGCTGCTCTGCATCTTCATCTTTCTTTTTGATTATCTTGAACAGTTTTAGCATTTCTTAAGACAATGTTAGCACTATTTGCAGAGGCAAAGCAAATCATATATCACTTGTTGCCTTGCCTTGGAGGGTAACAAATGTCTTAATACAATAAATTAATAACTTATGAAATAATAGTTGAATGTGCATTTAAATGATCAAAACTGGAAATAAATACGTATTTTTTAATAAATTATTTGTATGGGCCTCAATTAAATATATAAATGATTTCATTTTGAACAAGTTAATATAATTAGGTAATGATTTATTAAACTGTTTAATGTTCTTTCTTTGAACCAAATGTAAAGTTTTTATTCGGTAAAGCAAAGTGTGTTTTTATTCTATTATTTCAAAGAGATCCCAATGAGCTTTACAGGAAGGCTGCTTTCCATATCTTCACCTCTTTCTGTATTAAAATGGGTCAATAAACCATCTCCTTTGTCTCTAGCATATCCATTAGTGTTGCACCGATACCAATATACCAGTAGCTTGATAAAGCCATGATGCCAATTATTTTACATCCAAGTAGTATGCAGTTCTTTTTAAATACACACACTCGTCAATTTCAAACAGATGGTATCGGTATCGGCCAATACTGCACAGCCAGGTATCGGGTATCACTGGCATCCTGTCCGCAAACCAAACCTGATGGCATAACTCAGCCTTAAGAACCAAAATATGAATGAATATATCGATGACTGAGAGAAGAAACCAGGAGTGAGAAACCAAAATCAATCAGAGTTTGAAATTTTGAATATCAAACACTTTTCTACCAGTTACAGCAGTGGCATGCACAGACTTTTTGAAGGGAAAGGACAGAAAGAAAACCAACTGTAGGTCAAAACTGTAGAGGGCACTTTAATAAGTACCCAATGGGAACCAGAGGGTTCCCAGGGGAGACTTTAGTGAAAGCTTTGCTTTCCAAGTGGTCACTTTAGCATATGTTTTGGCACCCAAGGGGTCACTTTAGGAGTCACTTTAGTGTGTGTTTGGCACCCAAGGGTCACTTTAACGTGTGGTTTGGCTCACAAGGGGACACTTTTGCATGGGTTTTGGCCCCTATTGTGACAATTTTGCATGAGTTTTGGCTCCAAAGGGGACATTTGAGTGTGAGTTTTGGCTCGCCTGGGGGACTTTTGCATGAGTTTTGGCTCCAAAAGGGAAACTTTTGTGTGTGTTGTGGCTCCCAACTGGGAACTTTAGTGTGTTTTGAGTTCCAAGAGGGCACTTTTGCATAGGTTTTGGCTCCCAACTGGGAACTTTTGCATGGGTTTTGGCTGCCAAGGCGGACATTTTAGCGTGTTTTGGCTCCAGAGAGGAAAATTTAGCGTGTTTTGGCTCCAAAGGTGGAACTTTTGCATCTGTTTTTTTAACAATTGGGCCAGAAGGGCGGGGAACCACCTATACACTTTGCAAGCCACTGGTTTACAGACTGCTGTTGGTGGACACCTATAGGATAATCAGTTCAAGGGTAAGGCTTTTAGCTGAACAGACTACTAAAAACATCAGCATTTTTCATCATCCTGTATATAACAAAAACTAATAATATAATACTATCACAGTAGGAATCAACTGTCCTGGATGGTGACTGGTAGAGCATTGAAAAAAATTACAGTGAAGACTGAGCGCTGCTGACATCATCTGTCACTTTATCTATACTTCCTTTTTGTTAATTTATGTTGTTTGTTTCTGTTTTTTTTCTGCCTTATATAATGAACCACATTCACTCAGATGTTGCCATGCAGAAATGCAGTGCTGTCATCATGCAAAACTTCTTTATTGAACAACGCACAGTAAATCCTCCCAGATGTTCATTGTTTTCAGATTACCTCTGGATCATGTTTGTTTGGAGATTCTATGAGTCTGATAATCACCCAGATGTGGACTGACTGGACTGAGCTCTATGTTTGATCCCTACCTTCCTCATGTTCTCCAGTTCAAGTTGTTTGGCCTCGTTTGCCGTCTGCAGCTCCTTCATTCTCAACTCCAGCTCCTCCTGCTCGGCCTGCTGCCTGAGCCGCAGATCTCGCCGTTTCTGGCGGGCTTCGTGGTGCGGTGCAGGCCGGCCCTGACGCAGCAGGTTCACACATGTCTGAATGGCTAAAAAGAAAAAAAGCACCTTTATACACTTACTACGCTACAAACAAACATCAATGTACTTTATCTATGTACAGTAAAACTAATACTCTACATCTTGATTCATAAACTATCCTAAACATGGCGGTGGCAGTGTTATTGTGAGGATTAGCGTTTCTTTTACAGAAAAGGGGAAGCTTCTCAAAAATGTTGGAAGATGGATGGAATAGCAAGAACTACAATTATGAATTGAGTATTTTTTTCTCTTAGAATGTCCTAGTCAAAGTCTAGATCTAAATGGAATAGACAATCAAAAGCAATACTCAAAAACTCATGTCCACGGGAATCTTTTCTTCTCATCTGTCACATCAAAACCTAATAAATTACACTGCCATCTGTCAGTGTATTTTATTTTACTAATATGACAAATTTATAAGGGTCTGAATACTTTTCTAGAGGGCTGGACCAACCATTAATTAATTATAGCTATGTTGAGGTGACATACATTTTTTTTTAGATTTCAATAAATATTTCCATCAACTCACCCTGGATCCATTCCTGCTTCTTCTTCTTGTCTGATGCGCTGATTTCAAAGCTTTTTTGAGACGACTTGATGAGGAAGAGGCACTTCTTTCCCTCTTTGTCTTGTAAAGACTGCAGCAGAAAGCAATAATAAGCATAAAAATAAAATCCATGTTTTTAAAATTTCTATATAAGCTGTAGAAATGGAAGAGAATTGGCTCAAGAAGAGCTTAAAAAAGCAAAAGCAACAGGGCAGTAGAAACTGTGTTTTCATGCCTCCACGGTGCAGCTTCCGTCCAACAGGATGTCCCCTTTCTTCTCTGTGAGGTCCTCACCAACATAATATGAAATACAGCTGGGCTTAAGCACAAACCAGCGCTCGGTCCAGTTCTTCCTTTTGTGACCTTTCTTCATCATATAACCCTATAAATAGGAAGAAAACAGTTCCTTAAAGTATATATATAATAAATATGTTTAACTACATAGAATAAATAATCAAATAATACATTTGCTGCCATCAAAACAAGATTACTTGATAGAAGGACCTGTAAATGCTTTCTAGCTTCTAAAATAGTCCTGTAAGGTGATTTAAGTTATTTTTCTGAAATTTTCCTCTCTATGTATTTATTTATTCATTTTGTGGCACATTTTTTTTGTTTCATTTAGCCTAAAGCAAAACATTGTCTTTGTTTCTTAGAATGGAAAAGTGACTAAATAAAGGTTTACCTCATATTTAGTTTTTTAGATGTGTCGACAATTATTACATATAAAATGCATTGCAATGGCGCACACTCCAATTATGTATTTTCCATATCTTGGCAGTGGAGGAACTGGAAAATAATGGTGTTTCATTATGTTTGCAAATAATGGCTAGTAAATTTCACAAAAAAAGAACAAAAAAAGGTGGTGCAGTGGTTAGCGCGCACAACCTATGTACGGAGGCCTTAGTCCTCAACGCGGATGACCCGGGTTTGAATCTGACCAGTGGTCCTTTGCCACACGTCTCTCCCCCTCTCTCAGGCCTCCTTTCCTGTCAGCCTACTGTCAGAAAAACAAGCCACTAGTGCTGCATAAACAAAACAAAAAATAAATAAATATACATATTTAAAGTTGTGTTTTATATTAAAAGTTCAAGTTGCTTTTTTCCTGCTTATTGCTGTGATTTCCTCTGTAGTAAGGAGAGAAAACACAGTTATATTGGTTTTTAGCAACGTAATTTTTATTGGTCAACAGCGACAGTTTGTCGTAAAACTAAGTACAAAAAATTTAAACTTAAACAAAAATAAATCTGCTAACAAATAAAGAATTTTTAAAAAGTAACTGATTTTCTTAAATAATATTTGAGAAAATCTGTAAAAAGAACTTTTTGAATAAATAAAATCGGTGAAAACACAACGTTACTTTCAAAACCCTTTTTGATTAAGACATTTTTAATAGTTTCATTTCTGGATTTATTCTTTTTTTATACATGTTTTCATTACTTGCAAAAATAATGGAATAAAATTCACTCCATAATTTTTTTAGATCTGCCTCTGCAAAGATATGGAAAATGTGCAGTTGCCGCTTGTACCTTTGCAAGACATCCTACATGTTTCGATCAGGGACATTTTTTTGTTTCGCGTTTTGTAGAGCTATTTGCTAATGTTTAATAAAAAAAAAAAAAAAAAACTCCAGTTGGCCACGTGAAGATATACAGGTGCTGGTCATAAAATTAGAATATCATGAAAAAGTAGATTGATTTCAGTAATTCCATTTAAAAAGTGAAACTTGTATATTATATTCATACATTACATACAAACTCATATATTTCAGATGTTTATTTTGTTTAATTTTGATGATTACAAATTACAACAAATGAAAATCTCAAATTCATCATATCAGAAAATTAGAATATTACTGAAGACCAATAAAAACAAAGGATTTATAGAAATGTTGGCCAACTGAAAAGTATGAACATGAAAAGTATGAGCATGTACAGCACTCAGTATTTAGTTGGGCCTCCTTTGGCCTGTATTACTGCAGCAATGCGGCGTGGCATGGAGTCGATCAGTCTGTGGCACTGCTCAGGTGTTATGATAGCCCAGGTTGCTCTAATAGTGGCTTTTAGCTCTTCTGAATTGTTGGGTCTGGTGTATTGCATCTTCTTCTTCACAATACCCCATAGATTTTCTATGGGGTTAAGGTCAGGAGAGTTTGCTGGCCAATTAAGAACAGGGATACCATGGTCCTTCAACCAGGTACTGGTAGCTTTGGCACTGTGTGCAGGTGCCAAGTCCTGTTGGAAAATGAAATCTGCATCTCCAAAAAGTTGGTCAGCTGCAGGAAGCATGAAGTGCTCTAAAACTTCCTGGTATGTGGCTGCGTTGACCCTGGACCTCAGAAAACACAATGGACCAACACCAGCAGATGACATGGCACCCCAAACCATCACTGACTGTGGAAACTTTACACTGGACTTCAAGCAACGTGGATGAAGTGCCTCTCTTCTTTTCCTCCAGACTCTGGGACCTTGATTTCCAAAGGAAATGCAAAATTTACTTTCATCAGAGAACATGACTTTGGACCACTCACCAGCAGTCCAGTCCTGTTTCTCTTTAGACGCTTCTGACGCTGTCTGTGGTTCAAGAGTGGCTTGACACAAGGAATGCGACAGCAGAAACCCATGTCTTTCATACGTCTGTGTGTGGTGGTTCTTGAAGCACTCACTCCAGCTGCAGTCCACTCTTTGTGAATCTCCCCCACATTTTTGAAGGGGTTTTGTTTCACAATCCTCTCCAGGGTGCGGTTATCTCTCTTGCTTGTACACTTTTTTCGACCACATCTTTTCCTTCCCTTCGCCTCTCTATTAATGTGCTTGGACACTGAGCTCTGTGAACAGCCAGCCTCTTTAGCGATGACCTTTTGTGTCTTGCCCTCCTTGTGCAAGGTGTCGATGGTCGTCTTTTGGACAACTGTCAAGTCAGCAGTCTTCCCCATGATTGTGTAGCCTATAGAACTAGACTGAAAGACAATTTAAAGGCTTTTGCAGGTGGTTTGAGTTAATTAGCTGATTAGAGTGTGGCACCAGGGGCCATCAATTTTGAACCTTTTCACAATATTCTAATTTTCTGATATGATGAATTTGAGATTTTCATTTGTTGTCATTTGTAATCATCAAAATTAAACAAAATAAACATCTGAAATATATGAGTTTGTATGTAATGTATGAATATAATATACAAGTTTCACTTTTTAAATGGAATTACTGAAATCAATCTACTTTTTCATGATATTCTAATTTTATGACCAGCACCTGTAAATCCAGTTGATGTACATTCAACTGGTCAGAACCAGGATGCCCACCTGTTTGAGCACATCCAGGATGAGCTCCTGGTAGACCTCGCTGATGCCCATGGACAGCGTGGTTTGGTCCATGCCCTTGCTGAAGTGACCTGAGCCCACCAGGGGGATCAACTCCCACACACTCAGGCACTGCTGCTTTGAGTTCAGCTGCAGCTTCAAGTCCTCGAAACGCTCCTCCACCCAGCTTCCTCCCATCGCCTCGGTCAGCTTACGCAAGAAGTACTCTATCTGTGAAAGGGGACAAATTCTGTTCAAAAAGCAAATAAGAGCTTTGGAGCTACAGCACTTTATAGAGGCCATTCTTCCCAAACTTCTATTTCAATATAGAAGTCAATATAAGCTGAGCGAAGTATTTAAAATGACTTTGATTAATTTCTAATGTTTTTTACACTCAACAATGGATCTTCCACCATTTGTAAAAGAACAGGAAGCTGGAAACTTCCTTTTCTGCTCTTGAGCAACTGATGTTTAAACGTCCAGCAGTGTTACAATTGCAGAACCACACGAGGACTGAAAACAAACGAAAGCTTATTTCAACCAATGAAGGCTGAAATGAGAAGTTCATGCTGATAAGTTAATTTTACTGCCCTCATATCACATTTATTAGTGACTTCCCCACATTTCAGTGAGAAATCTGTCACTTTGCTCAAAGTGCCACTGATGTGTTCATTTTCACACATTCATCATGAGCTTATATTTATTTTAAGCCGTAACCTTTTTTTTTTATTTTTAATGTTTTTCCCCCCAGAGTGAACTGAGTTTCTTACATACAGGTTCATTTTTTTTAAACTGAGCAGTAGGTGTTTCTGCTTTCTGTATCAATAAATAATTTAACTACTTCAGAAACATTTCCCACCTAAAAATCACAAACAAATCAAAGATAATTCCACAGTTATTAGTTCTAATTGCAAATCTCTGGTACCCCTTTAAAAGTAAAACATGACAAATATATTTCCAGTGGAACCAGTATCACCACTATTCATGTCTGATTTATTTCATTAAGCAAAGAAGAAATAAATAAAAAATTTTAAGCCTCGCGAAAATGTTTTTTTAATAAACAGCATAAATTGCCATAAAATAATTCTATTAATCAACATTTAGACTACAATTACAGTAAATTAGAAATAAATCTTTTTAAGCTCTGATAAGGCAGTGATTCTTAAACTTTAAATTTACAAGAAAGCTTTTTTCAGAAATGTCTCTGAAACTGTGTACATTTAGCCACCAGGGGGCGCTTGGACTGCAAAAACCAGGTTTAGCGCCCCCTGAAGACCACTGGCAACACTGCAACGTCTAAAGTATCTCCTCGTTTTGGAATCTGCTAGCAGACCAATTAGGACCAGCAGATTGAGAAGTTATGAGGTTCCTTATAAGACCACATTCATCACTTAAGTTTAATTTTTACATTAGAAAACCAGAAATATATCTGATCATATAATGTGCACTGCTGTTTAAGGGGAACTCAGACTGCTGTTAAGAAGCACTTTGGGTCAGATGACCCCTTCAGCGATGGCTTTGGGTTTCCTAGGCAGATTTTTAAGAAGGGCAGCCTGAATGGAGCATCGGCTGCACTGAAAAAAATCATTAAATATATTAAACAAAAACTTTGGACAAACGTTACACATTGGTTTTTCACGCATTTCCAAAGGTTTTTTTTCTTTCATATCTGAACCTTATGAACTTGTCAACTTTTCTGGACTTTGCTTTAAGGACAGCTCTGTAGCAGAGAAAGTGAGCAATTTGTTAGGTCTTCCAAAAGAAGGGTCAAATATCGAGCCAATGCCAGAGCCTTACTTTTAACCAAATAGTAGAGTTTAAAGTTTCCAAAAAAATTGTATTCCTTTCTTTCTTGAGTTAATATAGCTTTATGTAGTGATGGACAAAGGAAAAAAAATAAATCTAAAAAAACATGCGCTCTATCATGATAACATTAAAAACTGACCAAGGAAACCTCACAGACCTTCAAAAAACAAAAAAAAATTTGGTTGAGATGGTTTTTCTATCTTGTTGGTTGCATAAGAGCATCAGTCAGAGAGCCAATGAAGCAGACTGAAAATGTTTTATCATTATCTCCTTTCTATCTCCTCTTTCTTTCATCTTTTCTCTTTTTTTCTTCTTTTGTTTTTTCTCTTCTGTTCTATTTACATTGCAGTGTCCATATAATCTGTAAAACTACCTGCATAATTATAATAAAGCAATTTATATGCATGAAACAAGTGGAGCAATATGGCAATAGCCCTACTGCTCCACTTGTGAAAGTAAAATCTGTTGGGCTATTTTTGGCATCAAGACAATTATTCTTATTGCCGCATCGCCAGACAGAACACTGTTTTTTTTGGCACTTTTTCGGTCAAGTCAGAAAAATCCCAAACGTATTAAAGTATGCTTTGAATTTTTTTTATTTTATTGTATCTCTGCTTCTTTTTGTATATCTGTTTCTATCTCCCTGAAGGCCGCACACACGTATCCAGGTTCTGGTTCTGCTGGAGGTTTCTTCCTGCTAAAAGGGAGTTTTCCTCTCCACTGTCACTGCCTGCATGCATGGTATGAGGGATTGCTAAAGAGTCCGCAACAAAATACAAGCGAAAATTATCGCCACAACATCTAGGAGGAGCATCAACTGGTTTTCCTTGACAGAAACTTTTAACCAATCTGACTGTATTGCTTCTGTAAAGTGCCCAGTGTTGACAAGTGACGTGAGCTGGTGCTGCATAAATAAACTGAATTAAAAGAAAATTGAAAAACAGAATTTGAAAAAAAAAAAATACCACCTGAGAAACGCAAGGTTCCTCTCATAACCTTCTGTTTTGATTAAAAAGTTTAATTTCTAGAAACTATAGAATTTTTTATTTTCATTTTTTATGAGTTCATATGCAAAAAAACGTTTTTATAAATCTTACTTACATACTTTTTATTAGCAGCACCATGCAAAGAGTAAATTATGTCTCAGTTGTTTTTGGGTTTTTTTCCAAAAATGGCTTTATTTTTGCAAAAGAACTCTTCATTTACAAAACTTTTTTTTTTTCCATTTTGCAAAAAAAAAAATAATTTCAACAATAACAGAACAAAATTCACCCTACAGTTTATAACTATAGTATATAACAATAAAACACAAATATCTAAACTGACCTGCCTTTAAACTCAGTCTAAGCTCAGAATCTTTTACTTAAAGACTGAGGAAATGTTGAAAATTTAAAAATAGAGCTGCAGCAAACTAAACTAGGGGATCTGTCATATCTTGGTGTGAAAAGGCAAGTCTACCACAGAACAGCGATAAAGATCATCAACTGAAAGCTGACATTTAATGAAGCAAAGGGGCCGCTTCATACCGTCGTCCATTTCACAATCAGTTTCTCAACCATAGAGCAATAAAACATTGCTTCCTGGCTTTTTTACTATACAGCCATAACAAATGTTTTTTATGGTTAATTTATCAAACAGACCAACATAAAGTGTTGCATAATATTTAAGCAAATAAATATCACGCATTGTTTTTTAAGTTTTAAATGAAAATCTGAAAAGTGTAGCAGTAGCACCAAATTCCTTTTATTCTACAACCTGCAAAATAAACCTTATCAGAATTCAGTGAATAGACTCCACCTTTCTATGCTTTATAGATGCCAAACAAAAGGTTTATTTTACGGCAGTGCAGATTTACTCTTCAGAGGAGTTTCATTATATGACATAAATAGTAAATACTGATTAAAGATTCTTCAGTAAGCCGCCCCCACCCGTTTCCTTTGACTGCTGTGATGTAATCTTACCTCCTCGGTGACGATAGTCAGTGGGTATCTGTCCTCTGACAGGAAGTTGAATATGCACCATATCTTGAAGGCGTCGTCGTTGGAGATAAACAGCTGTTTTTGATCCAGGTTCTTCCTTGAGCACAACGTCCAGCACATTTTATTGAACTCCTGACGGTCAAAGTTATCCCTCGCCTACAGCAGAGGAGGAAAAGAAAAAAGAAAAGAAAGAGGCTCTTGTGAGTCATACGTCTGACAACAAGGAAGACGTTTTTTTCTTTTCTCAAAAATGGTTTATATGAATGACAAAGAACAACCTGAGCGGGAAAGACTTCCCCTAATAAATGTTTATATTTAGTAGGCAGTTTTTCCCTCCCAATTACACATTACTGAGTATTTTATTTGGATTGTACATTACAGAGCTGAAAACATAAGCAGTTCTTCACCTTTAGGTGGAAGGAAAGCGGTGCATGCACTGCAAAAACAATCCAGAAATAAGTAAAAAATGGCTTAAATTAAGTATATTTAGCCTTAATTTGAGCAGGTAAATAAGATGATTTGCCAATGGAATGAGTATTTTCACTCTTAAAATAAGATAGTTAGATAATATTTACTTGAAATAAGACGATAAAATAGTTTTTTCTTATTTTAAAAGGAAATTGTCTTGTTCCATTGGCAAAGTGTCTTACTTACCTCCTCAAATCAAGAAAAAACACACTTATTTTAAGAAAAAATAACTTATTGAGATTTATATTTTTTGCAGTGTGGTTTTTAGTTTATTTTTCAAACAAATAAAAAATTCCCATCTTATCCTTACATAAAGTTTAGTTTAACCACCTTCCTTTTACAGTCAGATACTGTTACCTGTAAATCATTTATTCTCGGTGTAGGTGCAGCTTTTGTGTAAAGGACTCATAGGTTATGCATAGAAAATAATCATTTATTGTCTTTGGAGAAGTTTGGGGGATTTCAGGAGAAAGAAAAGAGAAAAATGTTACAACTGAAAAAAAAAATCCTGTACAGAGATCAAAGCAAGCATACTAAGATCAGATCAATGTGTATGAAAAATGTAGGGGAAAAAATGTTTTTTGTTTGTTTATCTGGGCTGTTATATGGAAACTAACAGCTCAAATAAACAATAAAAGAGTAGTGATGGTTGCACTGTAGAGAGCTGGATCTCTGCACCTCCCCCCCTTTGCAGCTTCTCAGATGAGTTGGTCATGTCTTGGTGGGTTTGTGGTTGAGATGTGATGTTTTAAAGTCTAAAGATTGATTTATGCTCGACACGTCTACAAGGTCCGTGCAACCAAATTTCATCATTTTAGCATTCATGGCCCACATCATGGCATCTGCAAGGACATAACTTCCGCATCGCGCACCAGTGGCGATTCTGAACCAATTTTACCTGGAAGCGAGGCTGGGGCCAGTCTGTTCATGGGTGGAATAGAGCAAGTAAATAAAACAAAAAAGGACAACAGTTTATCCATCCATCCATTTTCTGACACGCTTAATCCCAAGTGGGGTCGCGAGGGGTGCTGGTGCCTATCACAGCTGTCTACTAGCGAGAGGCGGGGTACACCCTGGACAGGTCACCAGTTCATTGCAGCAACAGTTTATCATTTAATATATAAAGTGAACCAAAAAGCTACTCACAGATCTGGAGACTCTGACTTAGGAGATGAAGACTGTCATTCTGTTTCAATACATCTATAGCTAAAGGTGCAAGACCTTCATATGAAATAATTGTTAAAGTAAACCTGTAAATTAATATATATATATATATATATATATATATATATATATATATATATATATATATATATATATATATATATATATATATATATATATATATATATATATATATAAATTTGTTCAATGGACCTATCAGTTACAGTTTCTGTGCTAATGAATATCACAAATCAAAGGAGAGTGTTGGCCTAATTGTTAGAGCAGTGCGCTTATACTCTGAGGTTGCAAGTACCCGGTTCAATCCCCACAGCCTGCACTCTGGGTCCCTGATTAAAACTCTAAACCCCACACTGCTCCCCGGGAGCCACACCATGGCAGACCGCTGCTCCCCAAGAGAATGGGTCAAAATGCAGAGGTTAATTTCTGCATTTGAGATCAATTAAATTCAGTTCAATTTAACTGATTTGGTATTATCTGTTCAGTAGATGGGCCAGAACAAGGGTCAAGACCAGTTCTACAGAGGCAAAACCACTAATATCAGACAACTAGGAAAATCTGTGCTACATGGATATCTCCGTGTCCATGCTATTACTCATCTATCAAAAACATGGTGGCAAAGGTTTGCAAATAAAACCGTCCAGAGACAGTCTTCTGATTTAAGCCGCAAATATCACCATGATGAAAAGATTTTTGAAAAACTCTTGGAAAGAAATTACTGTCACACTTGGATGACACTAAGAGGCTTTGCAAAAATAGAAAACAGCTGTGTTTTTCTACTTCCTCATTTAGCGTGTTGTTGTTAGGCTTGACGTTTGTGATGTACACGCCCCCCTGGAGCTGGCCAGAATATCAAGGCACAAGGGGAAAAGCTGCAGACATTGTGTCTACCCGTCTTATTTTCCACACGGGGAACATGTGTGTCAAGCATCACCAAGCTTAAAGAACCGGTCACAACGAACGGGATTCCACGCTTGGACTGAACGATTTACATGTTATCCGTATGTAGAAGGATAACGGCATCGCTGCAAGGTGCAGATCAGAATTCTAGTGAGACGAAATGCAATTTTAGGAAAAAGTACAGATAAGTGACGGTGACGCCATAAATAGAAAAATCGTGACTTTTGTCGTGTTTCAACAACCAATCAGGTACTAGATGTGGTTGTGACATTAAGTCCTCGTTAGTATAGTGTAGAGTATCTCCACCATGTCACAGGAGACCAGGGTTGATTCCCTGACACAGACAGGACCTCACTGTTAGTTCCAGTTGGGGGAGTGGCTGCCTATTAGTTAGGTCATTGTGCTTTGAATCCAGAGGTTCTGAATTCAAGCCCCACTCCCACAGACTGCCACTCTGTGTCTCTGAGCAAAAACCCTTAATCCCACACTGCTGCCCAGGCACCACACAATGGCAGCCCTCTGCTCCCAAAGGGGATGGGTCAAATGCAGAGAGTTCATTTCGTTGTTCTGTACTTGTGACAGCATAATTACAATAAAACACAGGAAAAGGAAAGAAAAAAAGGATATAGGGTGAGGCAGCACAGCAGAAAGAAAAGCTTTTTTCAATTAAAAAGAAATACTGAGACAATAAAATTGACAAAAAGGATCAAGTAGTGAATGATTTTAAAACCTGTTTTAAGGACTGTTAAATTTGTTCTTCTAGCTCTAGCCCAGACCCCTACCAGCTGCCTCCTCTCCCAGCACTGGTGCCCTCAGTCCGGCTGAGTGCTTCAATCTCGCACTCTTGGCTTCAGAGCAGGAATGGCCGCCTATGTTCCATTCTAAGGAATTCTTTTCAGGGTTTTTGCTATAATCTCCCGCTGCTCCTTTCAGACTTCCAATGCCACCTCACCTTGCTTTAGTTGTCTAGGCGAACCTCCACAAAGTGGGATCGTTTTGGTTTAAGCTTTGTTCAGCTTTCCAAAGTAATAAAAGCACGAGGACTGGCTATGCACCATATTGAGGTGAAACGACAGCAGTTTTGATGAGTTAGTGGAGCCTTTTTCCCATCCTGTGAATCCCTTTGGTTCACCAAGCAAATTGTTAGCAAAATGCCATGCAGCCCAAAGCACCCAATAGAAGTATTTTTTCGCTGGTTTTGCGTTTGGTGTTAATGCACTGCAATAGCAGCTGGGAGGAAGAATCTATAATAACGCTCCTTAGTGCAACTAGTGAGCAGCAGTCCTTTACTGAAGGAGGGTTTCTAGCACTGCAACAGCTTCAGGCTTGGGTTGAAAGACTTTATCCAACAGTAATGTTAATCTTGCTACAGAGTCCTTCTGTCACTCACCACTTACACTGTTTTCAGGGCGCAAAAAAAAAAAAAATAGAGTCAGCCGTTATTCATGATGACCTCATCAAACCTCTCCAGGTAGATAAGTTGTTGCTCCAAGAAACCACACTGATGTCACCACATATACAAAAAGGTCCTAAAGATTGCCCTAAATGGTCCTAAACTGTGCATTAGTATTTAGTCCTTTTTACCGCCCCTAACCAAAACTTCCTTATAGGTCACTTAAATAGTCAAATTATGATAGCATTATTAAACAAAAGGCATCATAAAGACAATTGGAGGAAAGAAGAGAGACTGGAAAGATAGTCGAGAAGTTTAAAATGTATTTCATAAAAATATCAGTCCATCATCTAATGAATGAAAGAAGATGGCACAACCACAAACAATCTAAGACATGACTAACTCATCGGAGATGCTGCCAAGGGGCCTTCGTGGAAACTAGATGGGGTGCAAAGATCTGCCCTTTAGTACAATACTAATATGCTGATTGGGTGACATCATAGCTAGTACCTGCCTTCCATAATAAGCCAGGTACTAGCCTTATTAAGGAAGGCTTTCAGCAAATTGTAAGGTTTCAGATTCCAATAGGATTCGTCTGCAGCTTTCTAGCGGAGTAAGCTGATAATTCTAACTTTTTCAAAATTTCAATTCAATTCAGTTTATTTATATAATGCCAATTCACAACACAAGTCATCTCAAAGCACTTTACAGTTCAACAAGATCATACAGTCAAACTGATTCAAAGTTTTCTATCTAAGGAAAACCAGTTGATTTTATTGTCTCATTAACTCAAAGGCAATCCCTCACACTAAGCATGCTTGTAGCAACAGCGGAGAGGAAAAACTCCCTTTTAACAGGAAGAAACCTCCAGGAGAACCAGGCTCAGTATGAGCCGCCATCTGCTGAGGCTGACTGGGGTTTAAGGAGACAGACAGCCAGGCAGACGAGCTCCGAGCCACCTCCCATGTCAGAGGATGAAGAGAGCACATCCAGCCAGTCACGGTCAGAGAAACAGGACCACACTGGAAAACAGGCCGATCTCCAGCATCTATAAACAAGGGTGTTGATGGAAGCAGCAGCTGATGTTTCTCTTCAGGGTGGTGTCACAGAAGATGAAGGAACAGACCAGATTAAGCTACTATGAGGAAAAGCAGAGAGAGCATTACGTTAGAGATTGAACTAACAGATTCTGCAGAATAGGAGAATAGAGACA